AGCCTTGGAGATTGAGAGCATGTGCTGAAGATCAACAAAAAGGAAGAACGGATTTTTTTAAATATGGGAATTTGATACCAAAAATTAAGCATGGCCATAACAATTACAGCCACCTAGTGGGCAATTTTTAAAAATTTTAAATAACATTGATACTCACTTTCAGTAGTAAAATACTTGTAAATTAAAGAGGTGTAGCGTATAACCTGGGGAGAAGCTTTCACTGTTTTGTTGTTGTTGTTTTTTTAACTTATTCTTCAGGAATACAGAAAATCTCAAATATTGTCCTTCTTGCATTGTAGTCTACAAATATTAGGAAAATTAGATCTCATTTGGTGCTACTGTTTTAATGAGGGACTTGCTGAGAGCATCCAATGAAGTGTGCTATTGCTCACACCGCAGCTGAAGGGACAGGACTGAATTTTTTAACAGAGATTTTCTTTCACCACCTGGTTCATTAAACTTTAAAGTTAGATATATGACAACACAAGCTTTAAGTTAAGAAGTTGGCAACAGATCAACAGGCTTCACAAAGTGATTAAGGATCTCTTCTGCAGACGTTTTGGTCTTTTGGCTCTTGATGTCATCCATCATTTCAGGAGCTTCTCAGGTTTCACAGGGTATTTCATGTTGATAGGATCTCTAGTCAATTTCTACTGGAAAAAACAAATTGGAGAGTAAGCATTTCATCTGAATCTTTGCATATCAAAAGGAAGGAAAAGTACATTCTCTCATTTGTCTTTTATATGGATCATAGGGCTGAAACACTGAACTTCAGGTCTGAATTCCAAAAACTCCAAAGCATTTTGATTTAGCCCATAATAAAATCTGCACTGTGATTTCATAACAATACTTTTTAATCCACCTCCAAGAAGGGATCAGATACTCTGTGAGAGAGTTTCTCTGTCAGAATTTTTTGTTTTGGCTTTTATTTTCTTCAAGCTTAGTAATCTGTATTCAAGATTTTAAATACATATTTACAGAACAAACAAACCTTCTCAGAATAATTTCCACAGGCTTTTGATCGCATGCCTCAGAGTGGAAGAACAGGCTATAGGATCTCTTAACTCTGTGAAGAGAAATAACTGGCTGTGAATTTTGGAAATCCTCTCTGGCATGTGTTCAAGCTGGTATTAATGCAAACCACCCCATGCCAATCTCCTGACTCACCCCAAATGGCAGTTCCTGACACTCATCCCATTGCTGGCCTTCCCTAGGAAGAAAACAAAGCAGCTCCTCCCTTCCTTCCTGAAACCTCACATGCTCCAACGGCTCTGGACAGGGGCATCTTCTGTGTTTTCAAGTGTTTAACTGGGGGAGTGTGGCTGTGCCAGTGGATCTTGAAAAGTTGTTTGCAGCATTAAAATTGGTCTCAGCTCCCCAGTCCATGGGCACAGAGTGTCAAATTCTGTAGGTATGTAAGCAAGTATGTCAAATTCTTCTGACTCTGATGCAAATCTCTTTGAAGACAGATATATGTCAATTATAGCATCATGTTGCTTCTAAATTTTATATATATTTATAGGACTCGATGGTCTTTTCCAACTCCAGATATTCTATGATTCTATGGTATTTATGTATTTATATATTATTTACATAGTGTATAAATATCCAAGTAACCACTATCCAGATGCAGGCAACATTTGCAAATGAAAATGCTGTTTAAATACCACAGTCCTGCAGAATGTTGTGTGTTTTTGAGGAAATCTCATCCCACATTTGCTTGTGCCAGTTCCAGGAGGATTTTTATTCCTTGTCCTTCAGGCGAGATGTGAGGAGTGAAGGGCAGAGGCTATGCTGCTCTAACTATGAATTTCTTGACCTCTGACAATTTTAGTTTTTTTAATCACAGCCTTTTCTAAGAACAGACTGTGCAGTACTGCCATATTTGCCATATAAAATCCTGGATAGATATGGAGCTGGATTTGTGTTGCAGTTACTGGTATTTCATTAACCTTTATCTTGACAAGTGGAAATAACATGCAGTGATTCAGGGGAAATTTTTCACTTGCAGAGAAAAATGGTGCCAAAAGAAAGCAAGTGGGCTACAAATTAATAAATACAAATCTCAACAGCACGAAGCAACTTCCAGCTGGAATTGGCCGCTTGTCTGTGTTTTGGATGCATCAGAGCTGTTGTGATTATGCTCTCTGGGGCATGACAAAGCCACAGCTCAGGAACCTATGGGTGACTTCAGCCAGCCTCAGGGCCAGGGTGGCCCACCTCCAGCCTCCCTCCTCTGTTTTTCCCTCCCAGATGAAGACCTGGTCCTCAAGGATTGTCTGTCCCACCATGGGCTGTGGCCTCTCCATGCTGTGTTGTTTCTTCAGCCTTGTGTCTCCACTGGGCTCAGCTGCTAAAAGGCTTCTGCTCTGCAAAAAGGCTGCTTATACTCATGGTCCTGTTGATGTGGATATGCAATCACCAACTCTCCAAAACCCCAGGGAGAACCTTTTTTAGGAGGACCTGAGCAAAATACAGCCCTCCTACAACTGCAGCCTCAATGGTGGCCAGCAGACTACCCTGGACGAGAGCTGGTGAGTAATAAAGATAACTGATGTTTTTCCTAGTGAAAATCAGCCTGACTCACCTCTATTTTGTTTCTTTTATTGTTATTTGTATTGCTGTGATGGCAGACAGCAGATCTCAGTTATTGAGTCCAGGTTTTTATCACCATACAACAGGACAAAGTGCCTGCTGAAATGTTTCCAGACTAAATCAGTAGGAGGCAAAAAAGAAAAGGCTAAGTCACTTGCTCACTGCTGCCCTATAATTCAGGGCTGCCCTACTCCTCATTAAGCACCTTCACTCACCCATGGTGGCATTTTTTCCTGCTAGTTTTGCCTCGGTCTAAGCCAAGGTTTATAGGTAGTCAATACCATTTGTTTTCCAAATAAAAGATCCACTTGGCACATATATTTCGAGACCTGTCGTGCTGCAGGGGGAGCACTTGCTACCGGCAGGGGCTGCTCAGATCCGAAGCCTTGTACTGAGATACTGATCTGAGGCATCAGAAGAACAAAGCACGCAGTGGCGACCCAATGCCACTCGCTCTGGCTGTGCCATCCTCCAGTGAGCAGCACAGTCCTGTGCAATCAGTTCCTCTGTTAGATGAAGTCAGGATCTATTCCTGAGCAGGGATGCCATGGAAAATGTCTCTCTGGAGCTGTTATCTTCCAGGGACAATGTCTCTCTCAAGCCAATGTCTAGCACAGGATAAGCTTCCTACTGTTTGAAATACACATCAGCCTCTCAAGGCCTTTGCAACACTGTGGGTGCTGCTGATGCTGGAAGCAGTTGTGATCAGAAGAGATCTCACAGAGTTCAACAAAATATCAGGGTCTGGATCCATGCATCAACTGAAGCAGAATAATTCCCAGATCCAGAGAGAAAAGCACAAACAAAGAGAACCTAGAAGTCAAAGAGACAAAAGCTGTCTGGGAGACCAATGCAGAAAAGCTCTGCCCAAGGTTGGAGGTTTAATGAGAGCTGAGTAGGATGGGACTTGGCATAGATAGAAGCTGTTAGGAACAGTAGTGAAGAACAGAATATGCAGATAGTGAGAGGGGAGAACAGCTGAAAGAGGAGGTTGAGAGGAAAGCAGGTAAAGGAGTGTAAATTTTGGCTCGTGTGTACCAGTACAACCGCTACAACCCTGCAAGAAGTGGTCTAGCATGGCAAAAACCAGGCAGTTCCAGAGGATCCCTGCAGGAAGCAAAGCTGCTCAGCTGCTCTAGGGGGACAGAAGTGGTGCTGACACTGAGAACAGGCACTCCTGCTCTCCTGCTGCTCCAAGGCTTTATCCTGGCCCTAGAGTTGGAGGCAGTTCCTCTGGCTTTCTTTTGGGGGGTTTGGTGGGAGTTTTGTTTGTTTGTTTGTTTTGATTTTCTTTTTATTATTGTTGTTGTTTTGAGGAGGTTTTGGTGGTTTTTATTGTCTTGTTTTTTAAGGCAGATTCCAGATGGGTTCTGCAGTGGCAGCTCTAACGCCTGCCCCAAGTTGTCTGGGCTCTCCAAGCACCCCAGTGCTTGCTGAGAATGACCCTAGAACTGAACCAAGCCTGTGCCAAGTGCCACCTCTGTGACAGCGGCTTGGACTCACCATGACAGCAGTGTTGGTGAATCTCTGCTGGTCTGACCCACCATAGTCAGGGTCTCCCAGGCTAGCATCACCACCCAGGACCAGCCTTCACCACCCACCAGCACAGCAGGTGGGCAGAGGGGTGAGCATTTGTTTGCACTGATCTCAGCTCACATCTTGGCTTGGGAAGACATGTCTGGCATTCTGGTCAGTGATGACTAATTCTTGAAGTAAATAATCAGCCATTCTGGAGGGCTGTGCCTATATATTAGGAGAATTATTACTTTCTTCCAGCCTCAGCTGTGTAAAAATGCATTGCTTCTCTTCATGAGAAATTCTTATCTCCATCTGTCAGTCATCTTGTCTCAGTGGGGAAGAAATCCCCAAGCCCTGTCATATCAGAAAATGAGAAAATTATCAATATCTAGAGTGTATATGAAAAATAGGAGCTCTTTCTCCATTTGGGAGAATGAGTCTTGATTGTAATGTCTTATAAATGTTAGTGGCTTCTCAGACTTTCAAAAATGTTAATAATCCTGAGGTACCAAAATACTTTGCCTTGGAGTTCTCCATATTAAAAACATTGTCTTGCCCTCTGCAGCCATCTCCAAGTCTCTCAGAGATGAGTGGTCCTATACATTGCTTTATGCATTCAGGAAGCAGAGGCAGGATTAGTACATTCATGCAAACACAACAGGCTCTGATGATTGCCTATGCATCAAGAGTCAGGATCCAGATCTGGCGCCTAAGATCAGCTTAATAAATACTATTAACTTCTGCCAAGCATAGGAATAGAAAAAATATGTCAATAGCTGTAGCTTTGAATAGGAATACTTGAGTAAAGGAAATCTCTCTTCTTCAGATTTCCAATGGCCTCATTATGCTGCCTTGGGGAGAGAGAAGGGAGCACAGAGGAGACAGCCCCAAGTGCTACAGCTGGGCTATGAGGGGGGTCCCATTTATCTCAGAGAGGATATCCCACCCCTCTGCATCACAGAGGTGTCTGAGCCGGTCTGGGGTCCTTCTTCCCCTGAAGAGCAGCCACTGACAACATCTGCTGCCCCTCCAGGGGAGGAGGTGGGTGTTCAGGTGAGTGGGCTCAGCCTCCCATCCTCCTCTCCTAGAGCCACACATGCATCCCTGTGCTGCCCAGGGTCTTGTGCTGTTGTTGCTGCCTTCAAAAGAGTTTATTTTGGCATCAGCTCCCCATGGGAAACCTGTGAACAGCTCCTTCTCCCTCAGGCTATCTCAGACTCCAGCAGAGGCCCAGCTCCTGTGGCTGCACACAGGTCCGTCCCACTGCTTTGGGCTGTCACTCACCAACACGTTCCTTCACATGCTCCAGGGCAGCCTGAAGCAGCCAAGCCTGCCACATGCCACCATATCCCCAGGCATGCAGAAGAGTAGTTTAGTTCAGATCCAGGCTTTATTAATGCTACCTGGAACCACAGGTTTGAGTCCTGGCTCTATTGAAGCTGGCTGAGGGCTCAAGTGGAAGAACGTGGCAGAACTCACTACTTCTCCATGCACTCCTGTGATAGGACTCACAATTATATCTGAATCTGTTCTACTATTTTCCTTTTCAAATATCTGTCCCTTTTGCTTTTATGAGTCATCAACTGTTTTATTTCCCTAGCAGATTAGATTGTTCCTCTCACTGTGGCTTTGGGCTTTTGCAGCTGAATGGAACCCAGGAGATCTGAGCATGGAGCATCGGGATTGAAGACACAGTAGAACACAAAAAAGGCAGCTGGTGCTCAGCAGACACCACAAGTCACTTAAAATGTCTTTTGTTTTTAGCTATTGTTTGGTTAAATGTGGTACCTGCAGCTTGAACAATAGGCAGAAGCAGGGTATTGCACTGATGGGCTGTCACAGAGTGCAAGGTGAGGTTTCAGTATGGGAAGCCAGAGGCAGAACATTTGCCTAGCAAGTCCTTCCAAGCATTCCATTAGCTGAGCTCCCAAGGAACCACACAAATGTTTATTGCATTTATTTGAGTCCACACTGAGGAAGTTTCTTTAAACGACTTGGTGCACGGAAAAATGGATTGGCAGGGCTTTAGGTTCCAGCCAGAAGTAGATGGAGCCGTGGGAGTGTTGCTCCCAGAGAGAGGCCCAGGCCACCCACACTGGGCTCTTCTTCCTCCCGCATCAAGGTGTGCTGAGCCCTGAGGAGAGGTTTCCAATCCTTCTTTGAGTCAGGTAGGTTATTTCTGGGATGCTCAAACTGGATGCAAGTGTCCCACTGCCCAGCTCACAGATCAATGTCCCCATAATCTGGGGACCCCTGTTCCACCCCATCTGGGTATTGTGTTGTGCTCCTTCTGCTCTTCAGAGAGCAGAGGACAAGAAACAGGATGCTTTCAGACACTTTAGCAACTGCTTTCTCAAAGCTTGTGGTGCTGCTCCAAAGGGAGTTACTCTTTGCATGCACCAGTCCAGAACTTTTTGGATGCACCAAGTGAATGAAATGTAATTTCCTTCTTTTTTTCCCCATTAAGTTCCTCTGTTCTGAAGCTGAATTGAGTTTTCGGATCTAATTGTCCTTCCCTTTCCAAACAGAATGCTTTGAAAAACTGCCTGTACTTTTATACACCCAACATCTGGTTTTGGTAAAAATTCTGAAACTTTTTTAATACTACTTGCAGTCTAGTGGGAAGGGAGGGTGATATTTAGTAGATAATTTTTGCCCTCATTTTTTAAGGAAAAACCCCTATCTATTAATTCTGCTGCTGGAAATTGAGAAAGCAGTTGGGCTGAACTTTTAAGTGAACAAACACTTACGGATCTATTTACACCTGCCCTGAAGCAGACTGTCATAGGTGGAAATGCTGTAATTATTCCCTCTCCCTGGTTTCCACTGTCCTACAAAGATCTCTTGGAGCAGCTTGTTAACAAGTTACTGCTGCACATGGTGAAATTAGAATCAAGTCCTTATTAACAACCAAACCAAACTGACAAAAAATTACTAAAATTGGCAATAGCAAAAGTGAGGGGAGTTGCTTTGAGTCAGTTTTTGCTTCTTAGTCCCATCTATTTAAGAAGGCTGAGAATTACAAATGACAAATGTGGCTGGCAGTTGAGCAGGGACAGGGACCTGAGAGGGAGTGATAGGGAGATGCAACAGCAGTTTTTCTTCTGTTCCTTTTTCCATCACTGCATGTTTCCAAATTTATTCCTCTCCCTAAAGAGTCCCTCTCCTTTGTTATCTTCCTACTCTTCTCCCACCTCCTTCTCCCTTGGTTTATTTCTCAGAACAGATGATCTCCTCTGCTCACCAGCCAGGTTAACTCTAGTTTCAGTATCAAAGATCATTTAGGCTGAAAATAGCTTTTACTGGGCCCATGTTAAAACCCAGAAGTGTCTGGTCACCAGATATTCAGCTGCTCCTCAGTTGGGGTTATCTATGTGCTGGTACTCCCAGTTCCATGGTCTCAAGCCATTGCGGTTCATCACAACTCAGGAGGGTTGTGAACTCGGTTACAGCTGATTATGCATCACATGAGAGGAGCTGAAGAAGCAGGAGAAAAATATCATTAAAACAGACAGCCTGTCCTTCAGGGATATTTTTGTTTTTATGGCAAGTTTTTTGGGTTTTTTGAAGTGACATTAAATTGTTACCGCTTTATGTTCATTAGGAAATGGCCAGTGGTGATATTTACTGTTGCCTTCTGGGGTACAGAGTCCAAATGACTCAGTTATGAAAATAAGCCTTACACTGTTCAGAAATATGAAATGTGGCTCTTCAGTTCCAAGCATGAAGTAATGATGATTCTGGAGTAAGAGGATGGATGTGCTACAAATTCCAGTGCTGTCAACTTCTGCCTCCCCTGCGGAACAAGGGAAGAGAATCCCGAGCTGGAACTGCCTGGATGGAGTCAGGTGTGCACTGTGTCTTAGTGATGCACTAAATGTCCAAGAGCATCTTTACTGTGGAAAGATATTTTAACAAATCATCTTTATTGTCGCACTTCCCAGCTAGATGGTGACAGTGGGGGGGTGACAGTCCCCCTCTCTTGGGATCTGCAGAATACCAGCTACCAGTGGAGGCACAACGCAGAACAAAAGGGGCCACAGCACGGGCCTGGAGGGCACTGGGTTACTTTATTTGATGGTAAACTCCCTGAGTTCCGGGGTCCCAAGCAATGGACTGGGGGCAAACAACAGCTTATAAAGGGGAACAGGTCTCAAGGGAGGATACAATGTTCAGCTAATCAGGAGAACTGGGGGTGGAACACAAGGCAGGGAATACAAGGGAGGAAAACTGCTTGGGATAGGAGGGGTTAACAACTGGATGTGGGGGGAAAGGGGTTTGAAACTTGGCAGGGAAGTAGTTAAGTAACAACAGATAAGACACCTGACTCAATTGAATAACAAAGGCAGGTCTGTGTCCCTCTAAAACCGGGGGGGGGGGAAAAAACCCCAAAAGGACTACCAAAGCACAAATCAAACAATAAACCCGCAAAATAAAAACATACTGTAACATTTACTTTGTGCAACCTGCTCTGGGTAAGCCAACCTCAACCATTCCATGGTCCTGTGATGATATTAGGAAAAATTTCTTCGCCTAAAGGGCTGCCAAGAATTGGAACAGGCTGCCCAGGGCAGTGGCGGAGTCACCACTCCTAGTGGTATCTAAAAGACTTGCAGGTGTGGCACTTGGGGACATGGTTTAGTGGAGGTCTTGGCAGTGCTGGGTTACAGCTCGACTTGATCTTACAGATCTTTTCCATTCTAAAGGATCCTGGGATAAGATTCTGCATCCACGGCAGACTGGTGGGGGGAGGGAACAGACAACTAGCAGTGGGGAGGGTTACAATGAGTCCCTCAGATGAGAGTCATAGTAGAGATTTCAAAATCTTCACTTCGTTAAAGGAGCAAATAGCCTTTCTTGAGAGCAGGAGATGCAAAGCAGGTACGAATTCAGTGCCATTGTATAGCAATATCCTTTGGAAGATTTGCCAGATGGCTCGCAGCAAGATTTTAGACTGACTTTTTTCCCAGCCAGCCATATCATCATCCATCAGACAGTCACTTTCGACTGACATTGCAGAGCATGGCTGTCTCCTTTCTGCCTTGCTTCTGTTTATTTCTAGCAGACTTATTTATATCTGGAACTGATATAAGTGGCACGATTTCTTTGTTTCATTAAAAGATTCCTTGATCTTAACTTTAAAGGATTTGTTTTCAGAGAGATCAAAGTCAACCCAATGTCTGGCACCCCTAAGGTTTTCTTACATCCCAGTCTTCAAGTAAACCTGGAAAAGACATTTTGTGGCAGAGTAGTAAACTATAGTGACTAGGTTAAAGTGGAGCTAGCCATGCATTCTTGGGTACTAACACATGCCTATCATCCAGGCTTCTTAATTATTATTTTCCAATAGGCAAAACAATGTTGACAGAGCTTGCATTATCAGATGCAAGTCAAGGTAAAACCCAGTGCCAACAGCAAGCATGGAAAATTACATCCCATTGCCCAGCAACTCACAGTCAAGCAAGTAAAATATGATTTGCACAGCTGAGCAGAGGCATTGTCAGGGCGCTAACCTAGGAGCCACACACTCCTAAGCTCCATCTGTCATGACCTGTTCCTTACTCCTGGGAAAAACTCATGTAGATGACTCCCTACAAGAGGCTATTAATTCTGAGTACCTGATTTATTAATTCTCAGATGTGAATCTTTACATCCCCTGATTTCTGAACACACAGTGGCATGCTGTGACAAGGACAGAGCTGTCTCATTCCTTCCTGCTGCTGTGGAAGGCATTTTTTCCCAGCTTAGTTCAATTATTCCAGGAATCAGCAGGTCTCAGCACACACCCAAGGCTCTCTGCCTGTTACCTGCCAGAGCCATGGAAAGGATGGGGTGTTTGCCGGCACTTTGAAGGAGCAAAGCTGAACAGAATGCTGAGTGTTATTGTGGAGGGTTGGAATACATTGGAAAGGATGGGGTGTTTGCCGGCACTTTGAAGGAGCAAAGCTGAACAGAATGCTGAGTGTTATTGTGGAGGGTTGGAATACATCCTGGATATGAATCATCTTGCTCTTTCTGACCTACTGTCCTAATTGAAACTCATTTATTCCTCAGATGCTCATCACTGCCTGGGTTGTACCTTTTCATAATGAAGCAGCAGCCTAGAGCTGCAGGTGTTTGCCCCACTCCTTCATTACGTGACAAATTAGAGGAGATTTAGTAAACAGACATGCTGAATCATGGGTCCTCATCCTCCCCAAACATGACCCCAAATTGCTGTCCTTTTGTTTCATTGTTTTCTGTGGCAGGGTCATGCCAGGACATGGCTTTCCATTGGCTATATGAATTTTACTGCTGTGCATATTCCAGTAAAATCAAAGGACTTAGAAAAGGGATTCTGTAGAAGCTTTTTTTGTCAAGGCCTTTACACTCATTAGTTATAGTTTAGAGCACAAGCTGCCGGGCAGGACCAGCGGAGTTGCTCCTGTTTGATTGTGCAGGTGTTGATGCCTCTTCAGGAACCTCCATCACTTTGTAGATCAGAGATGACAGATGTCCCAGACTCATTTTCCAACACATTTAAGAAGCATGCTCTTCCCTGATCATCTCATATCTCTATTTATTAAAGGGAGGACTGATTGCCTGCTCCAAGACACCCATAGTAACAGTCTGCCCGGCCTCATCCCTTTGAAGAATTTCAATTCAAGGGCTTATCTTTGCTGCAGAATGAGTTGGGACTTCTGGCCAAGAGTGCTCTGCTCCCTGCTCTGCCCGCAATCCTCCTGTCAGGGTAGCAATAAATGGCAGCTGAGTAACCCACCAGTTGTTATAGATGAGGAGGTTAAATGTTGGAGTGACTGCAGACATTGAATCCATCGCTGTCCTCGGCAAATCCCCTGGTGCCTCCCTTGAGTCTTCCCAGTGACGTTCTTCCCTGTCATCTAGGCACTTCCCTGATTCAGCCAAACTGGGGACATTAACAATTAATTGTGCCCATTTGGACGTCACTTGGGCAGGCTGCTGTCAAACATTTAGAAAGAACAATCTGGATAGGAATACTGGCCTTTCAAAACACACTTCTGGCAATAGAAGTGAGAGCTGTCAAATGCAGCCTGGGCTGGGAGTAACAACACTAACCTTTCTGGGGAAGCCATGATGCTTTTATGTATTTCACCCCTATCTTTGAAGGGTTCTGACAACAGTTTTTAAAATCTTAGAATGTGTTGCTTTCTTCACTTTTAGAGATTCCTTTTTTATTCCATTACATCTTTTAAATGTGTCTTTATTTTGCAAAGGTACAGCCTTTGTGCTGATCAGCAAGAAGAGACTAGATCCTTAACTCTGGCTGGATTCCGACCCAGCTTTAGATCAGCTCTGAATTTTAGATTTACTCCTCCTTACCAATTTAAGATTTTTTTACAATTAGTTTTATTCTTAAGGGATTGTCTCTGAAAATGCATTTCAACTGATTTCTTTTTTTTATTCTACAGAAGGAAACTCTTGGAGAAAATATCATCCAACTCAGAAGAGAACTTTCAGGGAGTAGATCTCCTGGTGAAGGAACAATTATGTTACTATCTCTCTGGAGCTGGAGATAAATGGGTTCTATCCTCTTTGAGGCAAAGCATTTATCAGACAACAAAAGTTACAATTACTGGCAAGGAACAAGGTTGGACTGTGCAGCAACAAGTGCTTCTGGAGAATCTAAGCCCGATGCATGTGCTGAAGTTACTCTTTATTTTCTGATATGAAACCAGTCCCACATATAAAGGAAACAAATTTCAGCCTCTTCCTTACTCGGTTTTCAACATCTGCTCAGTTGCTCAATAGTTCAGCCAGCCAGAAAGGAGATGTTCATAGATAATTGGAAACAAAACCAATTTCTGCCACTTCCATGACTGGTTTCAATCCCAGATCACCCAGCTCAGGGCTGGCATCTTTTGCAAATCCTCAGAGGTGGGATTGCTGGTTAATAATTGCTGTAATTCATTTAGGTCATAGCCCTTCTTCTTCTCTTTCTTTTCACTGCCTGAGGGAGAGCTGAAACAGGGATCACCCAAGGCAGGAGTGCTGGTTTAACTTACTGCCACAGTCAGCTAAATCTGAGCTCTCTGCTCAACATGCGTGGCTCAGTTCACCTCGGGTCTCTGGCATTGCTTCTTACAATTGCCCTTCTTATACTTAAATTTCAAAACCTGAGAATTCTTCTATATATAAGCATAATCACACTGTTATACCTCCAAATGAATATGAGACTATTTTCAGGATTTAAAAAAAATCCATTTAAAATACTTGGGTCTGTATTTTCTTGCTCATGTAAGCCGGTACTTTTAATAAAAGTCTGTTCTGAGAAGTGTCATGTGTGTATGCAGCCTTGGATTAGACTGAAATGAAATTGTGAGAATTTATGGAAAAGCTTTTAGTGAGAAAACATCCTCAGCTATATAGCCTTAGAAACTAGAGAGTTGGAGTTGGAGCTCAGAGAGTGGCTATGAATATGGAGAGCCAGGAGTTGGAATAATCTCAAGGGAGGCAAC